AAACAATTCACTTGATAATGCCATGTACGACTACATCTTTGCTTAGTTGTTGCCAGAAATATCTGCCTCAACTCAAATATCACCTAAACTAAACTAGTGCCATCTTCATTATTTTTAAGGAGATGTTAGGACTTTAGAGTTTTTAACATTTTACGGTAGTCGTTTGAAAAATGACTACCACATTATTTTAGTAATATATAATATGATTGGTTTATTTTTTCTCCTTATAAAATTGTCACAATTAGTCTTCTTATTATATCTATAATGCAAATATATTTTTTGAAATTTTCAATCTAATATAAAATAAATTTTTTTCGAGAAACTATAAAATAAGAATAAAAATTACATAATTGAAACTAAAAAATTAATAAATAAAAAAAAATGTTGAAAATACTATTTTATACTTTAAGTAAAGTAATATAATTAATTATTTGGAAAAAATATATCAATTGTAACTATGTAATCATGAAAACATTATGGTAGTCATATTTCAAATGACTACTGTAAAATTTTCAAGTTTTTAACATTTTATATTATGCATTTATGCTATTCATTTCATTTGCGTTTTTAATTTAATTTTGATTTTAGAAAAGTCAAACTCGAATTGTTGATCGATTTTCTTATTAACGTTTCAAGTTTTTTTTTTTTTTTTTTTTTTTTTTTGCAATATTCATCAATTAATATGTTGTTAGAATTGTTTTCATTCTATAATTTAAATACATACGGAGTATAAAGTTAAAGATACTATCGGTAAATGACTAAACGTGACGTGTTAAAATGTTTTCTTTTGTTTTCTTTTTTTAAAAAAGTGTTAGTTTGAGAAAATTCATTTTATTAAACCAAGAGTATGTTTAGTTCAACTTAATTTAAGTTCAGTTTAACTTTCAGTTTCTAATTTTCCTCTCTCATAATCAATTCATTGCACCTCTATTCAATTCAGTTCGATTGTTTTTAGTAAATCGGAATAGGCACCAAATAAAGGCAATTCTTCACTTTTACCAAAGCCTTTCTTGCATGGTGCAACTTTTGTGCTGCGCAAACTTTGGTGCAATCCGATCACAACATTGACGCTATGCATATTCTCACCACACAACACAGTAGATAAGCATTGCATAATACAAGTAAAGACAGATCAAATTATAATATTCTTCACAATTCATATCATCTGATCGATCTTAATTTATTTAAACATAATGATGCATTTAATGTTAATTTATACCAGTAATAATAAATAACGTGCACAATAAATAAAATTAATACAAATATGAAGTAGAATGTGATAAGAGGTAAAGGACAAAAGAGTGGATACAAAATAGAAATAAAATGAATAGCAAAGCCCAAAACAGATTATATAATCAGAAGAAAACAACAAATAAAGGTAAAGATGAAGCAGAAATAGAATTAGCAGAGTTAAAAGGGGGAGAGAGAGATTATTATTTGCAGAATAGCAGCAGCTGAGAGGTTTAGCAGTGTTTACAGGTAACTTTTATGAAAATAACAGCATATTACAGTATTAGATTTACCTTAGCTTCCTACTCTAGCTAAAAGCTGTATTTGTATAGATACTAATTAATCACTTTATCATCATCATATACTTCATGCATGCAACAAATCAATACTCCAGAGTTTAAACTATAGTTTATTGTTAGTTCATTATGAATCTGGTCCCGGATTCAGTTTGGCCTAACTAGTGGGATCAATTTTGGGTTGGATCCACTAAAAAAAGTGATACGAATCAGAGTAAATTGGTTTGGTTATTTCACGTAGTCATGATTTGAATTACATTTTAATTTGAAATAAGTTAATTATTTTTAAATAAGTTTTTGAAAGTGACCAAATGAGAATAATTGTAAAAAGAGCGCTACGTATTAGTCGAAGAGATTAAATTGGAAATAACGGATTAATTATATGTTAAATGTGAATTAAGTTTTTAAGTAAATAGTTTAGTTAAATAATTAAATTGAAAATAACGATTAATTAAATGTCTCAGAAACTCACATGGAGTAATTTGTCCTTTACAAGACTACATAAAGTACAAAATAACGTCCAATTTTTTAATTTTTTTAAGGGTTAATAGGTATGTTTAAAGTTTTATTATTACATTCAAATTTTACAAAAATCCAACATTATAATTATGTTGCTATTAAAATGTTGAAAACAAAGCAAGAGTACACTTTAATTCTAAGATCGAAGGATGATGGATGTGAGTGAAAGAAACTTGATTTGCTATCAACGAGATGACATTGAGGCTAACCATCAATAGGAAGATCAACCGACACAGTTGACTAATCTAAATTTCATAAATTTAACCTATTTATCAAATTTTATAAACCGTTGACTTATACATATCAAACAAATTGGTTTAGCCGTTTAGCTGGATTTTATACTTCATCTCACTTAAGAATATTTTGAACTTCGAGCATTATTAGAGCCAAAGGGCCTATAGCACGAAAGCCTTTTTCACATGACATATATAGCCAATATGCTCGCCTATTTAAAGGTCTATTTTCTAAATAATTACTCATTTCATCTCATATACATATATTACGAAGGGTCTGTTAACCTTATTTTCACTTATTTCAAGTTTATAATCTATTTTACTACCTTCTATTTTCAAAAACATCAAAAGTTATTACATTCTTGCCCCCAAACTACCACATGACGTCATTTTGGGCCTATTCTTTCCCTTCCCTCCTTATTTCCCTCACATTTCTCATTCCTATGTGGATTCTCATCTCCCCTTTCACTTTTTTTCCCCCAAACCACCAATAATTGTTAGTCAATTTTGATTTGGAGGAGTGAATTGAAGTGATTTTGATTGTTTGGGGGAAAAAAAGTGAAAGGGGGGATGAGAATCGAGTTAGGAATGAGAAATGTGAGGGAAATAGGGAGGAAAGGGAAAGAATGAGCCCAAAATGACGTCATGTGGTAGTTGGGGAGGCAAGAAGGTGGTAACTTTTGATTTTTTGAAAAATAGAAGGTGGTAATTTAAATAAAAAAAATAGAAGGTGGTAATTGCTAAAATGGACATAACAGAAGGTGGTAATTGTCAAAATAAAATTCAAATAAGTTAATATAAGTTAAGTTCAGGAAAAATAAGTTCTGATAAAGGTTGTGCAAGTTCAAATTACAACTAAAATAAGTTTTAATAAGTTCAGATAAGTTAAGTTCAAATAAGTTCAGATTAGTGAAAATCAGGTGACTATAACGCACCCAGAGTATTAAACTTTTTTTAAAAGAAAATTGAACATAATACAAGTTACCGAGCTTCAAAAAACGTGAAGAATAATTAAAAATCAATTAAATACCACTTTTTATATGTAACAAGTATTGTAACATATAAAAGTATTTTATTTTATTTTTTAATGTTTGATGGATCATGGAAAACTAAACTTCTCATAAATTTTTTTTTGACAAAATCACGGTGCTTTAAACAATTTCATAAACTTTTAAGAATTGTTATATGTATAAAATTCTACGTTTTTTTTCAAACAAATAACTTCATATATTTGCACAATATAATGTAGCAAGGGAATATTAGGTAGATCTATATGTATGAAATATTAAATTATTGGTCGATAGAGATGAAAAAAAATAAAATAGATATCAAACTATGTGATTATAATTAGTTGTTAACATGAATGGTGGAGACTTTAAGAGTTGAGACTTGAGAGTGTCACATACTTATATGCACGTGAAGTCGTGAACAATTGGAGTTTTATTTCAATAGTAAAACGAGAGTGGGGTATAGTTCAAGTGATAAAAGGTGGGGTATAGTTCAAGTGATAAGAGGGCTTAGAGCTTTTCTCCCGAAGTCCCGATTCTTGGGATCGATTCTCATCCCCGCCTTCGTGGCTCTTATAAACCAAAAAAAAAAGTAATAGTAAAATAAATTAATTTAAAACAATTAAAAGTAAAAATTAAAGATTATTTGGAATAATTAGATTTATATATAGTAAATATTTTCTTTTTGTTCCATCAATTTTCATTTATAAAGCAAGATTATTCTCACATATTAAGCCGCGAATAATATGGTTCATAGTTCAAACATGTACTGCATACTACGGGTCGGTTCACATTTTTAAACTGAGCATAACAGAACTAAAAATTTTATGAGAGAAGGAAGTTAAAAGCTGAATTGAACTGAATTGATTGAAGCTAAACTGAACTGATTGGAGCTAAACTAAAATGAACAGGCCCTACGTAAGAAATTTAAGATGTGAATATAGTTTGATTTAAGTTTAATACTTCCTTCATTATTTTATTATTGCATCGTAAGCGTTTGACACAAAATATTTGAAAGTGAAAAAAAATGAGAGAGAAAGGTAGAAATACAAAGTTGTCCATATGATTGTACATAAAAATAAAAAGTAAAAGTTAAAAAATAAGGGTATATTAGCTATTTATAGTATGATCACAAATATTTCTTTTTCATTTCGAACCGGCTTTTAAATAACTCTAGACATAAATAAACAATATAAGGGACAAAAATAAATTTCCAAAAGTTCCAATGCAAATGCAAACTACTGATAAAATATTGGAGTAGTAAAAAAAATTAATTGAAAATCCCAAGCTCATCAAATTTATACACTCAAAAGACAAATATTTTACCTTAAGTTTACCTCACCTATCTAATAATTTAAAGTTACCTTACATTACCTCAGACTACCCCTTACCCCCCTTACACACTAGCCCTGCCTTCCTCTGCTCCCATCTAAAAGATTTCACTTCTTACCAAATTTTTATTGAACGATTTCCTATAATATTTGTGTAAAGAAATATTTGACTTTATTGTCAGCGACAGGTCTCTTTGCGTCCTTGTTAATTCTTAGCCCACAACAAAAAAAAGAGAGTGCCGACAATTACACTTATAACTTCAAAGAGACCGCCTTTCAATAAAAACAGGTTTCTTTGACTTTATTTTACCAAAATTGCAAAACCGCTAATACCGTTAGCGGTTTTAAGCTGAACCAAAAACCAATCCTACGTGGACACTACTTTGAGAATTTATTTTTAAAACGAAGCATAATGAGAATTAATTTCTATTTCAATAATATTAAGGGAAATCGTTCAATTTTTATTTTCTTTATTTTTTAAATATATATTTTAAAATTTTATAATTAATAAAAATTAAAAAAATCCTAGTGTACTATGCTGACATTTTTGAGATATTGTTTCAGCTTTATCGATTTTTGCTAAAATCTCCTCCCTTTCTTTCTCTCATTTTCCCCTCATCCCCAAAACTTAAAAAATTAAGAAATTAAATAAATAAATTCAAGAAAATAAAATAAATTTAACAAAAATACAAAAAAATAAAATAAAATAAAAAAAAGCTCATATTTTTCTTCACTGACAGATAGGAATACCCTCTGCAAATTTCCTAACACACGCACGCATACTCCCTTTCTCTCTCTTCATGTCATACATCATTACCTAAAGCCAACGGAAATCATAAATGTGCACACAAAATTTTTAAATAAAAAAAAAATCACAATAATAACAAAATAAATAAATAAATACTCTAAAATAAAAATATTAGAGAAATTAAAATAAAAAAAAAAAAGAAAAAAACAGGACAGGACAGAACAGAAAAAACCACAGTATATTGGGTTTCGGGCCCCTACCATACCACAACTCTTCCTTTTTAACACCCCTTCAAATTCTCACAATTCTTGCTTCAAAAATTTCTCATAAAAACTTTGGGTTATTTTTATTTTTGGTTTTGTGGGTTGTTTGAAAATGGACCAACCTTTTTTTCTTCATTTTGATAACAGTGAGTCGAATTTACCACCTGGGTTTAGGTTTCATCCAACTGATGAAGAACTTATTTCTTATTATCTGCTTAAGAAAGTTCTTGATGGTAATTTTAGTGGTAGAGCTATTGCTGAAGTTGATCTTAACAAGTGTGAGCCTTGGGAACTTCCTGGTATTTCTCTTTCTTTTCTTATTTTGTGTTTTATTTGTTCGGAATTTGTTGTCTCGTTGATAGTGTAATTTAAACTTGTAACACGTAATGGTTGAGTCCGGGTAATTTCTTTTATTATAGTATTACCAAGTACTAACTTTTCTACCTTGCTTAGCTTCATCATCGTTGATGTATGTTTTGACTTTTTTCTTTTTTGTAGTTTTAATAAAATTTCATGATCATATATAATGTACAAGTTTCTCATCTAGTGTACATAAAACTTAATGAAAAAATTTACTACTCGTAGTGTACTATTTTTGCTAACATTATATTAACATGAATTTTAATATTCCAAAGAATTATACAAGTAAATGTTAAAGTTAAACTATATATTATGTGATGAGTGTAGAGAAGGCGAAGATGGGGGAGAAGGAGTGGTACTTCTTCAGCTTAAGAGACAGGAAATATCCAACGGGGTTACGGACTAACCGGGCAACAGAAGCTGGTTACTGGAAGGCAACCGGGAAAGACCGGGAAATTTACAGTTCCAAAACAAGTGCATTGGTTGGAATGAAGAAGACTTTGGTGTTTTACCGGGGAAGAGCTCCTAAGGGTGAGAAAAGTAACTGGGTTATGCATGAGTACCGCCTCGAAGGCAAATTTTCTTACCACTACCTTTCTCGCACCTCTAAGGTACGTATTTAGTTGTCACGTTACTAGTTTTAAATTTCGTTACTCGTGGTGTAGGTGTTGATATTTTACATATGAAGTGTGTGTTAGAATTAGTTAATATGGTTAAATTGTTTTTTTTGTTAAAAAAAAAATTGTGATGTGTTGTTTTGCATGCGTTTAGCAAGTACTACTATGATTGCATTGTGTGAATAAATTGATGAGAAAAATGAGAGAAGTTGAAAGGATTTTTCATGGTACAATCATTTTCAGTGAAATAAGCAAAACACTACTTGAGTATTCTCATCAGGTAGTAATTATTGACATTTGATATGATATCTTTTATTTCAGGAAGATCATGAATGACTTGTGAAATTATATTCATATTTTGTTACCTTGTAGTTTTCACAATGTTATGATGACTTAGTTAAATCAAAAGATTTTGAGACTATATTTTATGGTACTAAATTAAAGTAGTGAAAATCAAGTACATAAATGTAAATAATTAATGGATTTTTTTTTTTTTTGAGTTAAATCATGAGATAATCTTAACAACTTATTTTTGTCTTTAAATTAGATCATATTTGTATACTTGTAATCTTGTATCATGTGGTTAACGTTTTTTTGATACGAGTATTAGTCTTGATAAGTCACTAATTTTTTTTGAACATGATAATTGTCACTAATTTTGTACTAGGGCACATTTGTTAATACTTGAATTGTATGAAATTTTGTTAATAGGATGAGTGGGTGATCTCAAGGGTGTTTCAAAAGATCGGTAACGGAATCGGAACAACAAGCACCGGCACCACCAACACCGGAGGCGGAAAGAAAACTCGATGCAGTGGAATCATGAGCAGCCTCTACAATTACAATAGTAGTAACAATGATGCATGCAGCTCACCTTCCTCAGCTTCAATCTCAATCTCTCAGCAGCTTCCACCACTCCTGGACTCCTCCCCTTACGGCGGAGCCTTGAATGAGGCTTGCTCCTACGACGATGGGAGCGAATCCAACAATACCACCAACAATCCAATCAAGAAAGAGCACGTGTCCTGTTTCTCCAACAACAACAACAACAACATAAATATAAACAACACTAGTAGTACTAATAATATTATTAGCAACTTTAACCCTTTTGAGCTCACATTTGCACCCCCACCACCAATGATGAGCACTCCACCTCCTAGGAGTATTACTAGTAGTAGTAGTAACTCATTTACCTTATCCGGGGTAGGGTTACCGGTTTTCCCTAGCCTAAGGTCCCTCCAGGACAACCTCCACCTCCCTTGGGTCGGTGGGGGAACACCAGTCCAAGGCGGGTGTGAATTAGATGTGATGATGGGAGGTACTAATGCAACATGGGGTGGTGGCAATGGCGGTGGCGGGGTCAGGTTTGATCATTACATTGGTGGTGGAAGGGTGGGAATAGGTGGTGGTGGTGGTGGTGGTGGGAGTGAGCTAGACTGCATGTGGAGTTACTGATAATGACAAGGCTTGCTAATCAGTCTGCATGGTGTTCTTGCATTGCTTGTCTGAGTGGGTTTGACTTTTGGGGGCCTTTAGCTTTAGCTTTAGGTAGGCTATTCTATGTGTGTGTTAATCAGAGTTTGATGTGAGTAGGGTTATGGTATGGTACTATGGTATGTTATCTAGGTTGTTTGGTACTATGAGTTAGTTTCTACTACTTGTTTTTATTTTTATTTATTGTTGTTGTAAGTTTATTTGTGTATTTCTTTTTTAATTAGGGTTAAAAAAAAAAACTTTGTTTCTAGCTAGTGATTGTTGTTGTATGATTGTGTTATGTACTTTGTGGAATCTTTGTTTTGTACTATATTATTAAATTTATGTGTTGTTAGATTGTTGTATTAATTAAGTAGTTTGTGCATGGTGTTGATAGATTATTATTAATATTTTTTTAAGTCTTCATTATATGGGTTAATTCATCGTGTGGTGTTGAAATTTTATTTTAGTACTTCGATTTCTGTAATTAATTGATATTGCATGTTTTAATTAGATGAAATAGATTAAAGGGTAATTTCGGGGGTAGAATATAATCAACACAAACAAAAGTAATTGGCGGATAATAAATTTATGTACAACAAGAATTAGGAGTTGAAATAATACATTCAAAACTAGGTGTATCAGTGTATGCATTTTGGTTGTCAAAAAAAAAAGAAAAGAAAGAGTGTATGCATTCTTAACAAGTGCTATAATATGAGTTGAAGGGGTACAGGATTTCCATTGTATTATTATCAATTGGAAGATTTAATTGAAATTGAAATCAAAGTTAGTAGGGTACTTGAGAAAAAAGTGACTAATAGTACCAATTACCAATTACCAAGTGACTAATCCATAGTTAGATTTTATTAAAGTGATATTCGCTTCATAAAGTGTAACAAATTCAAAATGATAGATAAGGAAAATTATTCTGCAACAAATGACCGTTTAACATTGCATAACATGACATGGTAGAACGAACTATGTTCAAAAGCCTAAACAAAAGAAAAGTGAACTAATTAATACAATACATAATACAAATTAACTATATTTTGGAATAGAGGGAGTAAAAGTTCACTTGGAGCCTTGACAACTACAATGGCGCAGTAAGCGAAATGGTTGCACAAGAGCTATCTTAATTAAAGTGTTGAAAGGACTATTGAACTTGAAGACAGACAAAGGTCGGTCTGTCTCCATTCTCTCAGTAAGATGTATAAGTTGAGGGAGGTGAAAGCATGTATAATAAATGCAACATGTAATTTATCTCTCTTTTCAAATACAATTGGTGGCCCTTAGTTTGTATAATTTCTTAAAATGTCAGCATAATTTTGGGGATGGATTAAGGCCAGGGTTCACCTATCACACTATTATTATTTATCCAACCTTTTCTTTATCTCTTTCTTTTTGCCTTTCACTTGTGTGCTGCTGTGCAACCTTCATTTACCTCTACCAAATTCCTCCTTGGTGTACTACTATAGTTTGAGATGTGAGTAATAAATGCTCTTCTTTTATGTCTTATTAAGTGTGTAGTGAGTGATTCTAGCCTAGTGGCTAGTGGTGGTGGTGGTAGACGTTTTCACTTTTTATTCGATCTTTCCGTGTAGTATTTAGACTTGAGATCAAATCTTTATCTAAGGATGAGTGAGAGAATCGTGTGTGATGTTGGGCACTTGGACGTTTTAAGTCGTGGCCTTTGGAGATCCCAAAATGCCTTAAAGCAAAAAGAGTTGAACTACGTTTTAAGTTAGCTTAACGACAATCAAAAATATATTACGGAGAATTTCAAGGAAAAAACATGAAATGATATGACATTTATCAATGCATACAAAGCTAAGTTGTACTTGTACTACACTGTACAATATAATAATTTATTCAATTCCCTACGTATCTCGAATTTAAGATTAATCAAAATGGTGTACTTAGCTTCCTCAAAATTTAAGTTTAAGTTATAAGTCTCATAACTAATGAAAATTAGATGATCAGAAAGTTAGTGAGTTACTAAATGAACATAGCATTGAGTTAGGTTGGTTTGAGTTTGATTTCAAGCTAAACTCAAACTCGGCCATAATTAAGTTGTAACAAACATTTGTCAAACATGACATTTTCAAACTCTACAAGCTCGAACATTGTTTGAGTTAGGATTGTTATCGTAACACACCGAGCTAAGCTAAACCAAACTCATACTCGTATTAGGTTTAACTCGATCTGCTCTTTATAACCCCTAATCCCTAACTGTCATATTACCACACTTATACATGATCAAATTATCTCAACTAGAGCCTCCAACATTCCAACCCTCACATACCAAAACAGCTATTCCATACAATGATGAAAATATTAACCCAATGATTACTTAACCAACAAAAATATGTGGTTTTCAACAAACATCACAACTATTATTTCATCTACTGTTATAAACGCTGGTCCCCTTTTAATATATATCAAAAAAAGTAAATAAATTGAAAGAAACCTAAAATTCTCATTATAAGTTAATTTCTAAAATTGTCTCAAATAATCCATTCGTATCAAAAAAATATAAATAGGGACAAAAAGCTAGTGGTTTGAAGTTTATAATGATTAAGTATGACGATAGCTTAATAGTACATGAAATAAAGGATGGTCCAAAAAATAAAATAAAAAAAAATAAATAAGACTTAGCTAAAATTAGGTTACAATATAAGCCGCGTGCTCTGAGAAATTCAGCATTGCAATCTCAGTTTTAAACGATACTAGCTACGTCTCTCTGCATCTATTTATTTTGGGAAATTTCCATCCAATTACATGTACTATATATTATTTGTAAGGTTAATTTTTTGAATTCTTTGTTGTATCTTTATGTCATTTTAATCTACCTAAAATTAGATATTGATTTATGTTTTTCGTCTAGGATTTATAGTCTTGTTATAGATCTTGACTCTTCGATCAATTATATTTATGGATTATATTTGTCATAAAGTCACGAAAATATGTTTACAATAGATTTTTTCATGTACTATTCATCTTTGGTGCCGAATACTTCTAATAATCATGTGATAATCGATCAAAAAGAGAAAGTCGCATCGTGAATGTATTTCGTGAGAAGGGTCTAATAAACTCCTAGTGTTCTCTCTTTTTCTTGCTTAAAATGGTATAATGGAAGTTATTTAGAAGATAATAAAATTAGCCTTATTTATGAGCACGAAATTCATAACATAAACATTCTCGAGTGATGGATAAAACAACGTGTAGTAAGGGCCTGTTCTTATTTACTGAACTGAATATTTTATAAGAGAAGGAAATTAAGAATTGAACTGAAAATAACCTGAAGAGAACATGTCCTAACACCATATAATATATACACAATCACTCAATCACACATAACTTTAATGTAGTAACACCATATAATATATACGTACATACACTCTCAGTCAATTACGCATAACTTTAAAACTATTTAATTTTAGATAGAGTGAACATATACATGAGTAACACCATATAATACATACACATAACTTTAAAATTCTTTGTTTTTATATAAAGTGAACATATACATGAGTACAATAATTATATAAGTAATTTAACTTATGAAGTATATGTTGTATATGAAGGAAAAATTGTTAGTACTGTAGCAGATTTCATTTAGTGAATTAGTAATGCAGTACCATTTATAATAATAGTGCAATTCAACTAAGTTTCAAAAATAATTTGTTTTTAGTTTGTGTAGCATTGTATCATTTAGGCGAATTACTTAAATACGGATTAATATATTAAATGTAGCAATTTCCTTGCAAGAACTCTAATTTTGGATTTTCTTTTTGTTTTGCGCAGAAACTTTTTGTGTGTTTGTGTATTATGAAATGTACAACATAATTATGCAAGAAAGTAGAAAGCAAATGAACCAAAATTCCAAAAGCTAGGTTTGAGGGTTTTGGTTGTACTATGTTTGAGGTGCAAAGTGCAATAATGATCCAAGACTTTTGGGCCATTGGCTGTTGTTTGTCTATATAGTAAGTTCATCAGGTTGCATCTTTCATGAGCTAGTGATATTATCATTGTTTTGTGTTGGACGACTTGGACCACCCTAAAGTCATTCCATCATGCATCAATTAGACAAGAAAATGTCATATAAAACCCCATCCAATTGATAATGCTGTGATGTATGGATTTGTATTTAGAGGTGTCAAAAACTAATCTGATTTCAAATCGATCCAAAAAAATTAAATTCAGATTTGAATTAACACTTCTACTTAGATTGTATGTTATATCTAATCTAATAGGCTAACTTCGCTCCACTAAAATTTTTCATTGAACAAAATAAATATCGTCTTATATGTCAGTTCAAAAAAATATGGCACTTAAGTTGGGAGTGGCAAAACCAAAAATAATACTACCTCCGATTTTTATTAATTACAACTTTAAAATATTTTATATCTCACAAATAATACCCCAAAGTTGCAAATAATAAAATTGGAGGTAGTATTTAGTCATTTAGCGGGTCCAAAATATGCATTAATTTTTAATTTGGGTCAAGTCATCATAAATTAATTTTTTTTTAGAAATACACGAAACTTTACTATGTGCTCCCTCCATCAGTCTGTCCCTAATATTTTGTCCCATTTAACTTATCGCGGTCTTCAAGACTCATCTCAAAATGGTTTTTTCTATTTTCATACATGGAAAAATTATTAAAACTAAATATTAATAAAAATATACTACCTCTGTTTTTTTTAGTTGACTCGTTTTGATTTTAGCACTATTCATACACTTTTCTTTGACCGTATTTTGATTTTTGTACGTAATGAAAAATGTAGTTACGTGGGATCTTGTTAGATTCGTCATGATATATATTTTTAAAATTTCAACTTTTCATAATTTTTACTTATCGGTAAATAAAGATATAAATGGTTGAAGTTGTGCATTGGTAAACGTGACTAAAGAAACGTGTCAACTAAAAGGAAACGGAGGAAGAATACAATAAGATAAGTCCAACAAAGTCTCACATGACTACCCTATCACTATAGATTAGGAGTATTTTATGGTCAAAATTTTAAAATTTGACCCATATTTAAAGAATGGGGTAAAAAAATTAGGAACAAGGGAGTATATATAACTCTAATTGTTGGATCTGAAGTGAAATTTATTAACCCCACAATTTCCAATGTGGCTTTTCCATTGTTCGAGTATTGGCTTAGGCAGGCCTCCTCTAATGATACGAGCCTTGTTTGACAAGGCTATTGACTGGTTTGATTGGTTAGTTGTATTGACTTTTTTATTGGCTGTTTGACTTTTTATTAGTCTAAAAACATGTTTGGTAAAATTGGTTGTTGGATGTTATTAGTAACTTAGGTAGCTAAAAGATAAAAGCTACTCCAAGTAGCTTTTTCATTTTGGCTTAAAATCCAGGTTTTCAGCTGTCTCAACCATTTACCAAACACAAATTTTGGATGTTTGACCAAATGAAAAAGCCAAAAGTCAATCAAAAAGCCAATGAAAAACCATTTACCAAACAAGCCCATGGTTAAAAAAAAATAAGGTCTTGATTGTGTGTTTAAGCTTAATAGCCAAATAATAACCAGTAAAAAACCCTAGCCTCCTTTTCTCTCTTCTCTCTCCTAAACCTAGTCTCCTTTGTTAATTTTAAGGGGCTTCCATCGGATTTCACCGGTGGAAAGCCCCAATCTTTATTTTCCTGTAAGCTTTTTAATTTGTTTTAGGTTACAATAATGTCTCCCTCGAAAGAAAGGGTTTATCTCCTTCGAAAGACAAGGTTTTTTCGATCTCTTTCGAAAGACAAGGTTTTTCGTACTCCTTCGAAATACAAGGTTTTATTTGTGCTTAATTTGGTCTCCGGTTGTGTGGGGCTACTATTGATTGTGGCTCAGATTCGGGTTACGGAATC